ATAAAAAACATTCAGCCAACTCAGACAACACAATCATGGCCTTTACTCTATTTATATTTTGAAATGCAAAAAAAAATTACTACCTGGTAAGTTTATTAATTACTCAAATAATTTAAAGTGGCTGCATATAGTCCATCACAACTGCTTTAGTTTTGAGACATTAGCCTAAAGTAGACCATCAGAAGACCACATGACCCACAGGCACATGTTTTACAGTGGTGTTTTTTTCACAGTGCAAAGGGATTTTACTTTACATCACAGAACTGGAGATGGGCTGCTGTAATAATTGAGTTGTTGATCAAACTGCACACATGCTTGGTGGGTTACATCTCTGTGCAAAGAAGTTCACCACATTGTAAGTCTTTGTCACTCTGTTTCCTGTGTGTGTTCCGGGTTTTACTGATTGGCCAACACTTAGCTGCTGGTTAGAGATTTAATAATGAAAATAAAGAGAAATACTGCGCTTTCCATAGTTTTTACAAAGCTTGCTCATAAACTGACTCTTAGCCTCATTTCCCATACTAGAAACATCGACCATTAGCCATCGATCTTTATTTGTGTGTGTGTTTAAGAGATCCCACAACTCAGTTGTCTGACTGAGGATTTTGTCTTTGGATCTGATTGCAAATATAACTGGATGAAATGCTACATGCAGAACTTTCGCAGCATGCCAGCTAGTCATCCTACGTCCAACCTCCATTCTCTATGCTCTTATGCAATAATGCAAGAAAAAAAATTACCAAAATCCAGTCACTTATAACTGAACACATTACTAGGAAGACAACTGTTTGCCTCTGTAAGATGCTGGAACATGCAGCATTAACCGAGCAGGAAGGCATTAAGAACCTCTCTCCACTAGTACAAATAAGGCTTTCATAATTACAGATGGTCCATTTTTTCCCTGGCCTGTGGCATGAGCAGTAAAAACTATTGCAGTGACACTTCATTAATCATTGTCCACCAAGCCAATTTAAACTGCCATAGGTTTCTAGGTAACAACGCAACAAGGCATCACATGCGTCTCATATTTTAGTGCTTGTGGTGTGCATCTCTAATAATAAAGCTTAACATCTTTGTGTCAAATAAACACACACATACAGTATATTTAGAATGTATACATAGCACTATATATTCTATATAACAGACTGTATATCTTGCAACTATTTTTGTTGAGCATTTTTCAATAAGGCACAGATGTGTTACCTATGTTTGTTTTCACATATGTTTTGTATTGTGTATGTTCTATGCATTCAGGTACATGTGGCGTCTGGATGAGGGAGTAGTAGTAGTAGTAGTAGCTTCGCATCTCACCTCCCTAGCTCTGCCGTTGGTTCCCACCTGGTTTGGACGTTCACAGAGTGAGTCTATCATCTGTGTGCAGCCTTCAAGTGACGGGATGCTGCGGGATCTTACAACAAATTAAATATTTGATGACTTATTTGAGAAACTGGAGTAAAGGGCTGTATAGCTATTAGCTGTGTGAAGCTGAGTCAGAGCTTGTCAGTTCATAATTAGTTATTGGTTGTTTGCAGACATTGAGTTTTTTTTCTTCCTTTTTAGATCCTTACCAATTTTGGGAGAAAATGTAATATTTGAGCTGAAGGTCATGATAGAGAAAAGGTCATGTTCCTTAAAGGTATCAGCGCTTCAACACATAGTTTTTTTCCCCACCAGATTTTCTCACACTTGACGGACACCACCATTTTACTTTATTGATAAAGTTTTTTCTGTTGGAATATTAGCAAAGACAAATTTTATGTTCTTGTGTCATCCAAATTACAGTCATGACCTGTGGTCCCCCTTTCAAGGACCTCAGCAATGAATACCAGGAATAGCTTCCTTTGCTCATAGGAAACAATAACTTATAGCCACTGAGCTGACCCAAGAAATATGCTGACAGTTTAGACTGGAAGTAGACAAAAGACAAACAACTATACACATCAGAAGTAAAAAGTTTTGATTACAGTGTTTTAAGAGTTTTGTTAAGCAACCCCCCTCTGAACACATAAATAGGACAAGCTATGCAGCAGCAGTTATCACTTTCCTTGGTAGTGGTGTCAATATGCGGTGATTTATTCCAAACTTGATTTAGTGGGTGTTTGTGCTCTTCTTTACATTTCTTACTATTCTGTCTTCTTCACACTGAAAGGATGTGACAAGTTTCAGAAAACAACGTTTGATCGAATTCCAGAGTTTGCGTATCAGCATGTTTAGAACTGCTTGTTTGAATAAAATGAATGACCCCTGGGGAGTGATTAAACAACACAACAGTAAATAGACATGTGTGTTGTTTTCAAGTACGATGGAAGGAGAACAATGGAGCAGGAAGGGGGAGTCTTCACGTAATGGAGGCAGAGATGCCAAGAGAGCCTCATCTCATCCAACTCCTCCGATCAGAGTGCTGAAAGAACTTCCTGTGTTAAAGACTTGTTCATGTCCAATCCACTCATAACTAACACATCTGTCTTGCTAGGTTAACACTGACCAACAGTAGTCTAATTGAGCCACAAATATGAATTTCCATTTGTAAAAAATCAACCTTTCTGCTTTAGCCTATTTCGTTTATGCTTGCTGGCCAATAATGGTTTTGGTATTTTGTTGAGGAAAGACCAGCGTGCCAGGCGGAGGAAAGCCAGCTGTGTACAGATAAACAGAAAAGGAAGGAAAGACATGGTGGAAGTTGTTTACTTTTATAGCACAATGCACTATCCAAATGTTTTTCTATACTAAGGACACAGATCTGTTAAATTCCACTTCTTTGTTCGTCCTCTTTACTTCCACTCCACCTATGATTTTGCTTGCTTTGCCTGTACTGTATTGATACATAAAACACTCAGAGAACATAAAGGTGTGTTGCTGTTGCTCTTCAAAGACCCCGGACCCAGGTATTTTTTCTTACTCCATTAATTTCATACTACACTGTATGAATGAAAGACTATAAAGGGAAACACATTTTCTTAGTGATTCTTTTTCTCCTGTGTCGTGGCAAAATAAAAGTGACCCAAGTGCAAAAGAACCTAATGATGAAACTGATCAATTACAGTTGACACATTTTAAAAAGAGAAATGTGTTGAATGGAAAGAGGAACGTGTCTATTTTTATGAGCAGAAAAGTCAGTGTTGAACTGGAACAAAAAGCCTCTTTTATGGCACTGCTATTAGTTTTGTTATCCTTATAATAGGATGTGACTGTTTTCTGGCTGCCTAAGTTAGAGTCATAGTTTTTCAAATCTCTCTGGACATAGACTTTTGCTTGGTCTAGATTCTGACTGATGACCTTAGCCCAGATCATGTAAGCATGGCCAGACTTTCAGAAGCATGGAACTTGATGACTGGCATGTCTTTTGAGATGCAGAGCAAGTGCTACACTGGGAATTTGAGATATGTTCATAGCTACAGCAACCGTATTGCTTGATGCTTGTTTTGTTCTCATTTTTTGCTCATAATGAACACCTCCTTCCTTTATGGTAGGCAGACATAGGCAAAGATACATCAAAATGTATTTTACAATAAGATACCCATCCATCCATCGTTAACCGCTTGTCCTGCGTACAGGGTCGCGGGACAATAAGATACCAAATTGTTGTGGTGGCAGCCCGGCTGACGGTGAGTGTCCTGGTTTTTTCTCCTTTTTATCAGTTTTTCTGTTTTTTTTCCTTGGTTTCCTGTTCTCTGCCCGCCTCCCTGTGTTTTCTCCCCTGTGTGCTCTCTCTCCCTCTGCTCCTGAGCCCAGCCAACTACCTGCACCTGCAACTCATCAGCCACCTCGTCAGCCTGCCACACCTGCCAGTAATCACCTCATGACTGCCTGTATTTCAACCCCGGTTTTCCACACCATCCTCGCTTGATCGTCGTTGCTCCATACCTGGTGCCACTTCTGTGTTCAAGCGTCCATGTTTCTTGTTTTTTTTTCACACTTACCCTGTGCCTTGTCGTTGTCTTCCCTAACCTTGTCTCTCTGTCTGTTTCCCTCCCAGGTACACTCACCCTCGTCCTCCATTTGGCTGGGCTCATCCACTGGCCCACTCCTCTTTGGACTTCCCTCACGGCGTCCTCCCTGTTTCCCCGCCTCTCCTCGCTTCCTCGGCCCCTGTGTTCCCCGGCTCCCTGGTCCCCTGACTCCTTGGTTCCCTGTGCCTGTACTTCCCCGACGTCCTCCTCTCCCTCCACTCCAGTCCCTCTCACCCTTTTTCCCTAAATAAACCTCCTTCCCTCAGAGTGCTGCATTTGGGTCCTCTGTCCACACACCACACCCTGTAACACCAAATACCCTAATTTTTAGTGTATCAAAATGAACTACAAAATACAGCAGTCACGCCATGTATCAAAATAAATTAATATTTTAGTATTTCAAAATGTTCCATGAAATCACTTCACAAACCTTCTATCTATCGACCTGTTTGATCAATCCCTTCACCAGAACGCTGACTCGGTTGATTAAGTGACCAATGTTTGAGATCATCAGCTTTTCTCTGCCTAATGACTCATTATTCACAGGTCCCTGTGACCTCACAGATAAAGGTTAGTTTTAAAGTAACCAACAGTTCAATTTTTAACTAACATTAATGACTCATAATTGTATCCAGTAGCTTTGGAGGAATCAATACTATTAATGGAATTTAACTGCATGTAAAACAGGTTGGCAGCTGCAAGGGATCAATTATATTTTTCACTGATGAATGAGTGTTTCAGGTGTGCAGCATAGGCTATAAACTCCTACTTGCGTGAATCCTTAACACTTTCTTCTTTTTCTGCCTTTCTCTCACTTATGTCTCTCCTCATAGGTTACTGCCTCTCCATGCTCCTATGTCTGCCTCCGATCTCGTTCTGACTAGCAAATGAGGGAGAAACACTTGGAAGTGTGCATTTTCTCATATAATGCTCACACAATCTTGTTAAATAGCAGACTTATTTGGGAACAATTCTCACAAAACACAAAATAGCCCCCATTTCACACTTTGACTTAAGAAATTGTGAGCTACAACAAACACAAATTGTGGATGGGTTGACAACCTGTTGTTTAATGGCATGGCAGCACAACGTTAATGACAATAAGGCAACTTAACAAGTTACACCATCTCTTGGCATTATAAAGTAATGTACAATAACTCTAAAAAGCTTCATAATTTTTTTCACGCACAACTGATAAAATCTTGAATTAGGCTGAAAATAGTAAGCTAACGTTAAGTGTGAGGACTGCTACTCAGGTGAAATAGTTGGTAAACGATTTACCCTACGCTACTAAAATGAACACCAAAACTGGAACTGTTAAGAATTGTAGCAATTTATGCTAAAAAAATCGATGGACAGCTTTACATCTTCACCTTCTTCTCGTCTGGATCAATTTTCTGTTCTGATCTCAACAAGTCTGAGCAAATTACTTTGTTGTTTTTTTATAATGTCATCATGTAAACTTCTTACGTATTTTACAGTCTTTTTTAAAATACAAAATACCAAAGTATTTTGATTCCCCTCTCATATATCTCTGTGATATGACTACCAGATGAGGTTGGATGGTCAGAGATAAACTGAACTATAGCGAATCAAGGTGTTCTGGAGGGTTTAGTTACTATAAGGGAAATCTGCGAAAATAGTTGATCACCAACTCTTCAAAACAATGTTTAAAATCTGGCTCAGATTAGTCAATGATGCAATAAAGAATAAAAAATGTATTTAATGACTGAATATCACTGCATTATTACATTATGACTTTAAAAGAGGTGTAACATGTTTTTTTAAGAATGTGATAATTCAATTAGACAATAATATCATTAAATAATCAAGTCAAATTACTTGGTGGAGTCTAGTAGATAGTTGAAGTGTCAGATCAAAAATATTTTCTCACTGAACTCAAGTGGTGTCATGCAGATTTGATTTGATTTGCCCAGGTTTTGAGATCTTCCTTTGATTTATAACACCACACCAATACATTGGTGGTTTCTCAAGACACAGAAAAATAAGATTTTAAAAATGTAATAGCAACACATCTTTCCAGAAAAGACATCAATGTTACACCCAACAATTTATAAGTCTTGCTGTAACCACTCTTCTTTGCAACTACTTTCTACCATGTGAATGAGCATGATGAAAGTTAAAGGTAAATTTGCATTCTTAGAAGCTATTACCAGTATCTGTTCATATATTATAAGTTTTGTGTGGGTGGACAGCTTGTTGGCTTGAAGCCACTCTTTAACAGAACTTCTTTTTTGCATTAGTTTCAATTGAAAGGTCATGCTGTTGCATAATTCTGATGCTTGGCAGATTGAAAGTGCTTAGATTGGCTAGAGATATAAGTTCCAAATTGCTCAATTTTCAGCAAAAATAACATCACAGATTTATATGGTTGTGTAGCAACTGTATGAAGCATAAACAGTGAAGCCATCCTTGCCATGGTTGTGAAAACAGGAGACAAAGCCAGTGTAATATTCAGTGCATCATTATTATAATATATATTTATAGGATATTTAGATTATTTTCAATGTGCACAAGCCATTACAGACACATATAATTCATGTCGAACAATTTACATATATTACTCCTATTTACAAATATTTATGTGCCTTTTATGTACAAAAATAATATACACGCATAAAGAAATTAGTTGATACATTACAACATACATATTTTTTGGGGGGTTCTCATGGTGGTCTGACAACCATTGCGGTGCTGCACATCACATTAATGGTAGAAGAAAATTCAAATTTCAGAAAATAGTTTCTGTGTAGAATGTAAATGTAGCCAATAAACAAACAGGTGCAGGATGTCAGAAAAATAAAAAAAATCAGGAATAGTACATAGAGTGTTTGGAATGTGTGACCTTCTCCCCAAAATTTTGTGAAAGCCATGGAATAGGTCTGGGGGTGGGTAGGTAGACTCCTCCAGCTGTGGCCAATCTCACTTCATCAAACACCCGCCATCCCATACACTGTGTGCATGTGTGTGTGTGTGTTAAATGAATGTCCTACTATTTTTAAGGGGATCCCATCTGCCTTTGCTCAACAGAACTGACAGCCACTCTTTAGGGATCCACACAGCATGTTGCCTGCAAGATGAAATAATTAAAAAAAATATGGATGCACGCAAGGGCCCAATTAATACATGCAGCCTAAACCACAAGCACAAGCAAAAAATGTTTTCTTTTTTTCATAGGTCACAGGAAAGGTTGGTTTCTTTCCGTTTTTATTTTTTATTTTTACAAAAGCCATTAAATCTGGTTCTGAGAAAAACAACAAAATGGAAAGCTATCACAAAGGATGAGGTGACTGCCTTGGTTACTTAGAAACGTGCGGTCCGGAAGAGTTGTTTTCACCACTACACACCTCCTGGCTGCTACGTAAGTTTTGTCTCTGTAAACACTCTAACAGGAAAGGGTGTTCGGCGGCACTGCTGGGAGACATAACCGCCAGTAAAAACATCAGTATTACTGGAAAAGTGTTTTTCTATTAAAAGCATCAAAAGGAATCATGTTAAGACTCCAGAAAAAGTATAACTAAATTCAACACAACACAACCATCAGCATGTAGTGATTTTCCAAACAATTGTGGTGATATAAAAGCGTGACTTTGCAATTTCACTCCCTTTCCCGTTTAAAACTTACATTTTTGTTGATGTTTTTTGAAAACAAATATGCACACAAAATCCAGCAAGAAGAAGCACAAGTACTGTGTCCATATTTCCTGTCTCCACCATATGTCTTCACCCTGTGTCTTGATTTACATGCAAAAAGCTTGATTTGCTTTATAGATTTTTGGAGTTTGGGGGGCATTTCAACTACTGTCAATCATGCCTAATGTTAAGATGAGTTAATACTGCGTGCTATATGTACCTTGATGCCATTGCCAGACATAATTTAATTATCTATCTGAATGGAGGACTTGGGAGCCCAATTGTCCAGCTCTCTCCAGTTGCCAGAACTGCCCGTAGGGCTTCGATTGGTCATTTTAGTCAGCAACGTTGTTCTGCGTAGACTGCTATCAGAGTCCTCCTTCTTGAAGTCAGTGTTCACTTTGTGGCAGAAGGAGAAGCAGTGTACAAAATCCTGGAGGAGGTGACCGCTGAAGATCATGTAAATCCACGGGTTACAGCAGCTGTTGAGACTGGCAAGGAGCGCAGACAGAGTCACTGTTGTGTTCTCAGAATCTAGAGAACAGAGAGAGGAAAGAGGAAAAGGATGATTAATCCACAAAACATCTGGTACAGGCTAGGCTGCAGTAATGCCTCAGTAAGTCAGTTCATCTGGTGTTGAAATGTAAAGCCTAATTTTTCTTGAAAGAAGAAAACAATCTGCCAAATGCACACTCTTCAACAAGTTGCAAATCAAATTTATATTTGATCATTTTCTTGATAATAGTGAAGCAACCTGTCTGCTGCTGTCTGAAAAGTTCAAAAATCAAAAGAAAGTGCATACAAGGGACTTTATCACCTAATTCCAGTAATTTTATTTCAAGATAAAATATTTAAGCCCTGGGATGGACTGGCAACCTGTCCAGGGCATACCCTTTCGCCCAGTGTCAGCTGGGATAGGCTCCAGCCCCCCCCCCCGCGACACTGTACACAAGATAAGCGGTTGACGATGGATGGATGGATGGATGGATAAAATATTTTAGATAAAATTTAAGAATAGATTTGGCTTGAAGTGAAAGGTGGTGGCATTTCTAAGAGCCCACAGCTGAGGAGGCTGACATTTTGAGAAAGTGGAAGACTAAAATAAAGATATCAGGGACCCCAGATTTCTTAGTTTAACCCTCATTAAATGTAGATAAGTGGTGAAACGGTGACATTTTTATTTTGAAGGCTCGCAGTGCTGCACTCAGCTATTTCATGTAGGCTAAATGAAGCGGCTTGTATAGAATAGATCGATTTTAAAAATAATTTATCGTAGTAGTATTTATCATTGTTTACACTACGCATATTTTTGTTTTTGTGTGCCAAATAAGAATTTTGTTTGGGTATGGTGAGATTTTCTTTCTGGTAAGTGCATGCTGTGTGCTGTTATTTTTTGGCTTTACTTCACATCATTCCTAAAGCTGTAAAAGTTTTCAAATTGAGAAATGATTAATACATTTCTACGTTCATTTCGTCAGTACTCACCAGCCCACTGGAAGTTTTCATCCCACACAGACCACATCTGTACTATGAAAAACGGCGCCCAGCAAACAATATACGCCAAAACTATGACAAAAGTCATTTTAACAGTCCTCAGTTTGGCTCTTGATATAGTCGTAACGCTGCTGACTGAATTCTTCCCAATTAGCCCTTTCTTGTTCGAGGCGCCAGCCATCGTTTTCCTTTTCTTGTATTTGATATTTTTCCAGATGTTGTGGCAGATGAACCCGTAGCACATCATGAGAATGACCACGGGCACGACGAAGATGCCCACGGTTATCCAGGTGATGTACGCCTTGACGCCCCACGGCTCGATAAAATGACCCCAGCAGTCGTAGACGTCCGAGCCGTTCTTGATCTCGCTCAGGGAGAAGATAAAGTACTGCGGAGTGCTGAGCACCAGGCTGCACATCCACGTGGAGATGATCATTGTGTAGGAGCGCTGGGTGGGCTGCTGGAGGGTTTTCAGAGGGTGACAGATGGCAATGTAACGGTCCAGGGTCATCATCACCATCATGTAGGTGGACGCAAACATCCCCATCACCTGGAGGTGCTTGACTATCCTGCAGAGAAAGTCTGGACCGTAGAAGCGGAAGGTGATCTCCCAGCAGAGCTGCGGCAGCACCTGGAAGAAGGCGACCACTAGGTCAGCCAGACTGAGGTGTTTGATGAAAAGGTGCATCCGCGACATCTTCTTCTTAGTGTTGTACATTGCCAGCAGGACGCTCACATTCCCAATCACAGCAACCACGAATGTGATGCTCAGGACCATTATCTCGATTTGGGCCACCTCCTCGTTTCGGGCAAACGGATCGGACCCGTTCGGGTAGACGGTGTAGTTTCCAGCCGTTCCCATCGCTAGGTCATTAGTGGGACCGAAAACCAGAGACTGGTTCCCTCCGCTCAGGAGCAGCGCATAGTCAGGAGTGTGCATGGCACTGCCCCTCTATGCGCCCTAACAGATACAGTGCCAGAGGGGCTGTGAAGTGCCTCTCCAATCCGTATATGGAGCTACCTGATGCTCAGAGAGGAACACGTTGCTCTCTGACTTGGGCTGCTGTCGGGGCTTTTTAAACTGAATCAAATTTCATAGTGTGCGTAACGCGAATGCGCTGCAAAAAATAAAACACCGTCAAAATTTATTTTTTACGGTGATAAGTCCTAAAACAAGTTTATATATGTGCACCGTGCAGGACTTGGCATTTATAAGGAACATAGGTGTTCATGATTCGTGCAACTTATTTGAAGGCACATTTTCTTGAAATTGCACTGATTTAGAGCCTTACTGAATCAAGATATATTTAAACGAAACTTGTTTTGCGACCTTTTGAGTAGATGATGGATGAGTATTTTTTGCAGTGCACAACAAAGTCCTTCCCCATGGTGTGCACAACTTCCACATCACCACAGATCTTCCCAGTCATAGCCTAAGTCATATAGAAAGCAATTTTGTGTGCATTAAAAAGTCAATAAATAAATAAATCTGCTAAACTACGAGGGAGCAAGATGGGTAACACACAGTTATAATAAGAATATATAAATATTTCAAAGTGCTATATGAAGACATGTCAAACATAGCTATTTAACAGTGATGTTGCATTTACTGCATGCACTGACTAACACACTGGAATGTTGCCGTCTGCAGAGCAAGGCCTTGTGCAGTGATGAACTGTTGACTAAAAATGTTTATCTTGTGAAGTGATCTGCTCACAAAATCACCAGTTTAGTGTCTGCCATTTCAAGTCAAATTTCAAACTGCAAGAAACTGGTTTTGTTGATTAATAAATTATTATTTTATTTATTTATTATATTATTTTATTTTTTACCACAAACACAATTCCATTCCCCCACAGTTTTTTGATGTGGAAGCAGAAATCTCAGAGGTGGACATTGCTAAATGTCTGCAAATACCACCAGAATTTATCTCATGGCTATATCTCATTGGAAGATATGTTTTAAACATAACATAACATAATGTATGTGCACCAGATGTTTCAGGTTTCCACATGCAGTTGTTCAGTTTTTGGGACTACGATTAGCTTCCAAACTAGCTCATGCTCATGGTCATGTCTATAACTCAGATTTAAAAATAAGTACAGGGGAAATTTCCCCCTTCAGCAGATTCATTTGAAAACAGCCTTTAGTTTAAATCTCTGCACATGCGTCATTCTGCACAGTGACAGTTATCCACATGAATTAACAATAGGAAAACACATTTGAGTGGAAGGGGATGGAGCCTGCGTGTTTTTTTCTGTTTTTTGGTTTTTCTCAATAGCTTCCTTCCAGTCTTCACTGTTGCACACTTGTCTAGCAGTTCTTTGATTCAGTATCTTTCGCAACGCCACCTCAGTATCCCAGTGAGTCATAACAATGTTTATTACAGTTTCCATTGCAAAAGCACATGATTGCCAACTAGCTATGGGTATCCGGCAGCTATTCAGCTCATCTGATCCATGTGCTGATAGTGAGGATAATTATCTTTATTCTATTTGTGTTTCATTTCCGCTGTCCCTTTAAGTGATTGGTGCAAACTGGAATCCCCTTCCTAAAATTTCCTGCAAGCCGGTGAGCTAGCGTAGTGGTATAATTAAGTTTTCAAAAGTTTTGCTGTAAGTCTCTGTTAATCTAACCCTCAGAAACCAGCTGACCAGCTAACCAGCTTCCTCCCATGGGAGCCCTGTTATGTGTCTTATTTATATCCCTCCCATCGACTCCGTGGTCTTGTATTGTCCTGGGGGTTCACAGACAAAAGAACGGATGTCTCCCTTTACGGTGGTCTGAACCACATTTACCTTGATCTCCTGTTTTTGAAGATGTTCACTGGATATGTCCTGGGTTATTACTACAGCTCCAGGCTTGGTTTGTCTCATCAGCTTCAGAACATAAAGACTCACCATCCTCAAATGTGGACAGTGTGTCTGGGCCTGGGAATCATGGGAATGCATGTTCTGTCTCCAGTAGCCAGAGCAGTCAGTCTGAATCATTTCCGTGATGTTTCCCTTTTACTCACGGGCTCAAGGTTCTGTAAGACCGCCACAGAATCTGATTTTTGATCCTTGAGGATAAAGAGTCTTGTTATGGAGTTTCTTCTTTTAAAAAACAGACTGGAAGAATAAATTCCTTGCATGCTGTAAATTTATCATAAACTTCAAAGGATCAAAACATCTCCATTACACATTTTAATTGAAGTATTTAACCTGAATAAAGTCCAATTCTAGCTTTCAGAGTGGAATTCTCAACCTTTTTAAATGTTATCAAATCCCCCTCAGATCCCTCTTTTTAATGTACTTTTTATTATCACATGTCTAAATCTTTAAGTTGATGGAATGCGTCAGTAAAGCTCATTGTGTCCTCTAAATTTCTAAAAGTTGAACATTACGTCTGAGTCTGTCTGGCTTATCTCATGAATACCTCATGTGTTATAATACCCCATCAGTTCATTGTGCTCCGTATGTGAAATATACTGTGCTTCTGACATAGACTGACATCAAGAAGGAGCACCTGAGAAATTGTTTATTGGAAAAAAATAAATAAATGAAAGGATTATGGTTTTCTTTATTGTATTCATAAAAGCACAAATCTGTTTGTCTCCTGGACAACAGAAGTCATTCCAAGGTCACGTCAAACAAAGCATTTAATTATCTGTTTAGGTTATGGATGAAGTTATAACAATTAACAGGACCTCCGCAGAGGCCAACTATAATACATTAGTTATGTAAGTTTTTATGTATGTTTGCATGCTCTGCTTTGGCTGTTGGGCTGATGGTAAATCAGTGCTTCAGTAAACATGGCATTCAGGTTTATAATCGTGAAAATCCGTAACAAGTACACATTGGTTATGCAACCTGAACAAATGTAGATGTAATAATAAAAACTTCAGTGCAGCTGCTTTTGCTTTAAGCCACTTTCCTCACCTTTATCTGCAATATAAGAGGCATAATAATCACCACTCCTCTTAAGAGGGGCTTCAGAGACTGGCTCTCCCCAACAACTCTACGTCATATTGGCATTCAGAGAGGAGCAGGTGAGAAAAGAGCTGAGTAGCACTTTAAGAGTCATGGTCTTTTATTTATGCCTGCAGTACAGGTAAAAGCTCCCCTGGTGTCTTGTATTGTGAACTATCGGACTGAGACTGCAGGGCTTGGTGCCTGGCAGTGTGTTGTGCAGGGATGGTCCCTTGGCCCTTTCTGTTTACACTCCTGTCCTGCCACCTGCAAAAATTTGCCTGTGTGGTACCACAAGAATCAAATTTAGGACTGTTACTTTTTAATTTGTACATTCTACACCTGGGCAGTATCACCAGAAGGCATGGGATTTCTTTCCACAGCTATGATGATGATACTCTATGCGGCCGTGTCTGACACCAGGCCCCGATTGACTCACTTTTTAACTATAGATTTTTAGGCAAGTGCTTTAGATATAAAGGCCTGGATGTCTTAAAAATTTTTACATCCCAACCAGGATAAAACATAAGCACTGATCCAAGGCTCAGTGAGAGAAACTGGCCTTAAACTCAAAAAGGACTGAACCCAAGGCAAGAAACAAGAAATTAATTTCAACGCTCATCTGTGTGTTGCAAAATCAAATTTTTTAGTTTTTACTTCTAGTGAAGACTAATACATAATGTTGTCCATGTTTTAATTAACACAATGACAAAAAAATAATTAATGTATCAGGTTGGCAGGTTGCAAAAATGTTGATACTTGAGATTTCTTCTGCATTTTTAGGTTTTAGGTACGTATTTATGGTTATGTTTATGCACTCACAAAACTTGGTTAAGGTTAGGGAAACATTGTGGTCATGAGACATTAAGACAAAATGTGTTTATTAACATTCAACTGAAACCATGATCTTAAGCTAACACTTACCAAAGTAGTTTTGTTGCCTAAACACAGACAGGTGTCTCAATGGGAATCTCTGGTGTCAAAGTCCTGTGTGTCGTCCATTTCCCCTCCCTGTGAACACATTTCCTCTGAACAAAATCCAGGCAGCAATTACGTTTGTCACCACAAAATCAGTAGAAGACGATTTAGTAATACATATATCTCATTTCTAGGAGACAGAGTAGAGGAGTGAGGTGACAAAATCTTGTGGAAAACTTTACAAGAGTGGAGGCTGTTTTGGAATGAGAAGAAAAAGAATTATGAAACATATCAAACATGAACACAGAAATTTATGAACACTTCTGTTACACAATCACAACAAAAACTGCATTATCACCCTCACAGAGATGATATTTATCACAGGACTTCATTCAGTAACTGCTTGTATCTGAAGCCACTGTAGAAAAAATGCAAATCGTGTTATAAAAAGCATTAAGCCTGTGCCTCAAACCTTCTCATAGATAGATAGATATTGTTAGATGATTTTGACCTCAAGTCATTCTACAATAATTGTGCTTCAGTTGTTGAAAAGCAAAATTGTGTTATCATAACGAGATAAGGATAGCTCTCATTTTGTTGTACAGCGTTGTTGATATCAAACCTACTTAGACGTGATTCTAAACTAACAACATTGCCGAAATGATCAGATATGGGGATGTAATGGGGACGTTTAAACAGGTCAATATTGTCAATGGTAATATTGTTACTTGGATAGGAAATCACTCCTTTATCCACAGAAACAAGAACACAGAGATTTTATGTTTCTCTCAGCACACCTTCCAGTGCTGTAGATAATTTGTTCAAACAGAAATAGGCATGCTGAACCTAATGGTTCAGTAGATGTTCAAGACCATTTCCTTAGCTGGTCACGGCCTTCAGATCCACGGATCCTTTGTAGTGACCGGCTGTTCTGCTCTGACATGGACAGTTGGATCCCATTTTATGCAAGACCCCTGGGTCATTAGTGAAACGTTTAAAGACACTCTTTACATTTCAATGCTTATGATTTCTTGTAAAATCCATGGCTTCATTAGATAACTTAAAATATATAATTAGTATTGTGTTGTACTATTTAGTACACACTAATAAAATAAAAAATTACAACATATAATAGCCTACATAATATGTTTGTATTTTTGTATGCCTTTTCT